GTCTCTTTCTATGTTTCATTTCATAAGGAGACTGAGAAAGGAAGGACCCATCTACTCAATGATGCTTCTGCCTTGAACCAAAGCTAGCCCACTCCTGGGTGGGGATGCTGTCTTGGGGTCAAGGTATGGCTTGCTGGAGAGCGCCGGCCCTGACTGAGGGCAGCAGTCTGCTCGAGGCCAGCTACCGTTTCCATGCAAGGAACTGTCCAATTCATCAAGAGAAGCCAAAAATCCAGACTTACGGTGCAATCTCATTTCTAAACAGTGACAACCAATTCAAAAGTTAGGGAAATTGTTGATAACAAACAAAAGATCTGAAAGCTGAATGTGGCCTGCTGGCTGCCAAAGGGATACTCGAAATGCCCTAAACCAGGGATGGTTGACCTTTGGAGTCAAGTGGCCATCAAGGAGACTCCATCTGAGGAAGCGTGGGTGTGCTCAAGTATAACGGGGAGGGAATCCAGCTGACGTCCATGCCATCTGGGCCGACAGCTGCACGATGCAGCTGAACTGCACCCAGTCCCCTCCCTCCGGCCTCACAGTAACTCTGCAGGGGACACGTTATTCCACTCTGCAGTTGGGTCGGGAACGCAGTCCTTGCTTCATGAGACTGATCCACTCCCTGTTCTGTCTTCCTCAGGCCAGCAGCTCAGACACAGACACACATCTCTGACAAAAGAGCCTCCAGGCATTTCCTCAGGCCTGGTTAGGAGGCAGAGGTTCTCGGTCACGCTGGAGCTGGGTGGGCCTGTCCTCTGCCACCACCGAGACTGTGTGAGAGATGCCAGTCCTGCCCACAGCCAACCTCACACCACACTGTGGTCTCCAATGAGCTGACAGGCCTAAGCTGACAATGCCACTCTAAAGACCCAGGTGTTACCCTTGTGAGAATTCAGTTCTTGTGCTAAAACCCACCTGTGACCAACATGAGCAGGAGCAGCTACGTTACCTGGCCACGAAGCTGGCAGTCTTGTCAACGATGTTCCTGACCTCCGGAGGAGGGTAAATAATACCCACCACTGGCTTGGAAGGTGTAGAATCCTCCTTTGAAGATGCTTCTTCTTCTGTGGGCTGTGAAAACAGGAAAAAGAAGGCCCTGAAGTTTCAGGCTTGGTGTCGGATGCCCACCATTAAACTCCTCTAGGACATTACTAAGAACACAGACTCTCTCCCATTCAATCCATCACAACTTCCTGGAGTTAGGAACCTCTGCTCCAGAAGAACCATTTCTCTCAACTGCTCTGGGATTGCGCGGGACTCTCCCAGGAACCAATGAAAAGAGCAGCCTCTCTGGCTCCCCCCCAGCTGGAACAACTCTGTGACACTGGGAATCTGCATTTTCACCAAGCATCCAGGTGATTGAGATACGCAGGCAGGGGGAACAATGGGACGTGGATCTGACCACATTTTGAGAAACCATGATTCAGAATCCAGAAGGCTGTGTCTGTATCCCCACACCCTTGGATGTGCCTAATACAGGATCTTTCACCACTGTCTGCTGAATAAAGAAATGGGAAACTCCTTGCTGGCCACTCCTGCCTCGAATGCCCTTTCCCTCTACATCCATCCCACGATCTAAACCACCATTCAATGTTCAAGAGGTTTGTGAAACCATTGGAATACTCAGCATTAACCGCCCTGTAAGTTCCAATACTCTTTGCTCACCAGCTTCTTCCTCTAACAAAGGGTCAAGCCTCTCATTTTAGAAAAAGTTTCTCGACCTTCCTCACGTTCCTAACTGCTACCATCTTCTCCCCGCATTCCTCTGGTAACTCAACAGCCCGTGTTCCCCCAGTCTTGTCGTCCCCACTTCCTCACCTCCCATCTGATCCTCATTCACATCAAGGGCTCTTGCCAAAGTCAAGAAAGACAGCCTACAGCCAGTTACTGTGGTTATCTGGCCGTGTGACCAGTGACCACTCTGTCACAAGATCCTCACCTCCCGGGCCCTGTCTCTCCTGCCCACCGTTCCACCCAAGTCTCCCTCCGGGCTCCCGTTTCACCCCCTGCCCTATAATGTGAGGTGTCCCCCCTCACACTGTCCTCAGCCAGGCACTGACGGCGCGTCCTCCACTTCCCCAGCACCTCTAGGCCGCACCGTCCTGCCCACACCAATGCCCCCCGTCACTCTCACGTGGCACAGAGCTGTGAGAGCCCATGGTCCCTGGCACTTTCATCTCTAACCACCTTCCTCGTGGAGGGCCAACTGTGCCTCCAGTCATCCAGGGCAGAAACGTGGGTCTCTTCTCCTTTCCACAACCTCCACATTCAGTGATAAGGAACATCTCTCAAGCATAGAGTAGGTTCCACATACTTCTCTGAGCACTTTAAGCATATTACATCTATAAACCTTACAGAGCCCTGTGACGTTAGGTATCCTTACTACTGTCGTTCTACAAATAACAAACTGAGAAATGGAGACCTCTCCATGAGGAGGCCCACGTGGCAGAACCGATTCCAACACATCAGTTTAGAGGCAGAGCCTATACCATCAGCCCTTTCGTGATGTCAGCTTGCCGGTCCCCTCTGTCCCATGCCCCAGCCAGTGTAGGCCAGGTCCTCAACGTCTTTTAAATAACATGACCGATCTTTCCTCCAAGCAATTCTCCACATCACTGTCTACCTCCATTTCTGAAACACAAACACGTCAGCCTCCAGCTTACATCTGTTGTTCTTCTCCCAAAAGCCTGCTAGGAAAATTTCAAATCCCCAGCAATACAGCACTTAAGTGCCACTTTCCCAACTCCACACTTTAGCCTTCTCTGCCCTTGACCAGAGGCGCCGTCTGCTTCCGACCTGGCATCTCTGCACCTAGCTGGGTTTGCCTGGCTTATTTTCCCCAAATACTGGGAGAACGCCAGGGGCACAGAGGTGCGTGCAGTGGTCAACAGACAGGACGTGCTCAATAAATCTGCTGAATGAATAAAGAATGGCATTTGCCTGCTGCATCACCTACCTGAACTACTGATTCATCCTTCTAAACACAACTTAGCTTAAACTCCCATGGGCTTCGCCTACCCTAACCTCTCCTCTAGCCCATCAAAGCAATGTTGATTAGAATTGCTGCCTCCACTGTTTAAAATAGCCAAGACGTGGAAGGGCTTCCCTGGGAGCTCCGCTGGTAAGGAATCTGCCTGCAATGCAGGAGACCCCAGTTTGATTCCTGGGTTGGAAAGATCCCCTGGAGAAGGGATAGGCTACCCACTCCAGTATTCCTGGGCTTCCCTGGCAACTCAGACAGTAAAGAATCCACCTGTGATGCAAATGACCTGCGTTCTGTCCATTGGTTGGAAAGACCCCTGGAGGAGGGCATGGCAACCCACTTCAGTGCTGCCTGGAGAATCCCCAAGGACAAAGAAGCATGGCAGACCACAGTGGATGGGGTTGCGAAGAGTCAGACACAACTGACCAACTAAGCACAGCACCAGACATGGAAGGAAGCTAAGCATCCAGCGACAGACGAACGGATGAAGATGTGGTACGTAAACAGGATGAGACAGTACTCAGCCACTAAAAAGAATGAAATGATGCCATTTACAGCAACATGCATGGACTCAGAGAGTCATACTGAGTGAAATAAGTCAGACAAGGAGAAATACCGCTGGCTTCCCTTATGTGTGGAATCTAAAATGAAATGATACAAATGAACTTACAAAACAAAAAGAGACTAACAGACTTCGAAAACAAATTTATGGTTGCCAGGGGGAGGAACAGTTAGGGAGTTTGGGAAGGTCATATGTACACTGCTATATTCCAAATGGATAACCAATAAGGACTTATTGTATATCACAAGGGAACTCTACTCAAAGTTATGTGGTAGCCTGAATGGGACTGGGGTTTGGGGGAGAACAGATAGGTGTATGTGCATGGCTGAGTCCTTTGCTTTTCACCAGAAATTACCACAACACTGATAATCAGCTATACTCCGATACAAAATAAAAAGTTTAAAGTTTAAAAAAAAAAAAAAAGAATTCCAGCCTCATTCCTAATACCCGTAGTTTATCACTCGTCAATTACTGACGCCCGTCTTTCCTCCTTAGCTGATTGAAATCTTTTTAAGGGCTGTCTGAAACTGTATCTTGTATTCTCTCATATCTGCCTCCCCACTAGTCCGTGAGCTCCCTAAATAAAGCACCAACTGTGCTTCACTCATTTGGCTAACACCGGAGCCTGGCACGGGGTCGGGGTTAGAGTAAGCACAGAACAAACGCTGAGAGTTAACATTCAAAGATGGACCGTGCAGGCTGGGTAATTAGGGGCTCCGGGGCAAAGGCTGGGGGCCGGTGGGCCCAATTAACCACACAAGACCAGAGGATGAGCCAGCACAGCGCTTCTCAAACGCTAATAGATCACCGCGGGGTCTTATTAAAAACGCAGATTCTGATTTTAGAAGATCTGGGGTGGGAAATTAGCATTTCTAACCAACTCCCAGGTGCCGCTGGTCCGCGGACCTCAGTTTGAGAACCACGGTAGTAATAAGGCTTCATCCGCTACCCGAAGGCAGGCGGGAAGCGCGCTGCCTCCTGGGACTTGGAGTGCCCCCAAGTCCTCCTAACCGGCAGCTCCTTCCTGCACGAGTCAGGAGCGCCCGCGTCGAAGGGGAGGGCCCAGGCCTGCTCGAGCGGCCGTGGAGGTGCAGACCTCGCCGTACCTGTTTGGGCTCGGTGGCCGCGGGCGGCGGCGGGGGCACCGCCTGCACGGGTCCGGCCGGCATGACTGCGACGCTCAGGGCTGCCAGTCCGCCTCGGTGTAGGTGAGCGGTGCGGCGTCAAAGCGCCTTCCCCGCACCAACAGTACGACAAGCTCTCAAGATGGCGGCGGCCGACCGAGCTGTCGCTGAGGGGGCCAGGCTGACGCATGTCCGGACCCGCCCCTTATCCGTGGCGTCACTTCCCTCCCTTCCCTGCTAGCGGGACGCCGTTGCCGTGGCAGCGGTCGGGGAGCCGGGTTAGGTTTTGCACTGGATCCCCGGAGCTGCAGGAGCGCCTGGGGGCAGTTCCATGAATCCGCCAGACACAGGGGCTCAGGCTGCGACGCCGGAGACTGGTGAGACTTTTTCCATCCCCCGCCCCGATGCCTGGACCCCCCTTTCCTTCACTCTTCCAGGCCATTTCCCTTCTCCCTCCGACCCCCGCCTTCTAAGTCCCGCGTTCTCTCCCACTGGCCTCCCACTTTGGCCAAATCTCCGCCTGCCTGTTCTCCCAGGCCCCTCTTTACTTCAGCTCCACGTCCTCCAGACCCCTTCCCCAGTCTCAATCCCTAATTCCCACTGGTCCCTTTTCCCGCGGTCCTGCCTTTTCCAGTTCCACCCCCGCCTTCCTTAGTCCCGCCCTCGAGCCGGGTGTACCGACTCAGATCTAGGGTTCTTCTTTAGGCTCCACCCCTCACGTCCGCAGGTTGGTCCCCGCGGACCACTTCCCCGCCCCCTAGCACACCCCAATCCTCCTCTTTTCGCTTCTTCTCCTGGGAACTTCTCCCTTTCCCCTCTCCCCTCCCTCCCAACTCCAGAATGTGTCTGGCTCTGAAGCCTTGCCTGGACTTCAGTTTCTTCACCTATGAAATGGGGGTGTGGTGGGGGGAGTGATAGGAAAAGATGCCCTCCCGAGTCTCCTCCCGTGTCTTTCTCACACCATAGCTGATTGACGTTAGTGTTACTATTAACGTTGAATTATAACGATAGTTAGGATTTATTGAACATGTACCATGAGCCAGACCATGTGCCAAACACTACATGCATTCCATCATTTATTTCCTAGAGCAACTCATTTACAGATCATCAATTTATATGGTGGAGTGGGAATCCAAACCCAGGCCTTTCTTACTCTTCTACTAGTGCAGTTAGTTGCTTTGTCTTCACTGGATTCCTTCAGTATCCCCCCGGGTATCCAGGCAGTTAGCAATCCTGAGTCAGAGACTGACGCTGCTGTATAGATGGGTTTAGAGTTTCCAAAGCATTTTCATGGGTGCACTGGTCAGGATATGTGAAATCACTCAGTCCTGTCCGACTCTTTGCGACCCCATGGACTGTAGCATACCAGGCTCCTCCGTCCATGGGATTTTCCAGGCAAGAGTACTGGAGTGGGTTGCCATTTCCTTCTCCAGGGGGTCTTCCTGACCCAGGGATTGAACCCAGGTCTCCTCATTGCAGGCAGAGGGAAGCCCACTGGTGAGGAGAAAGGCGTAATCTTTACCTGAGGGGGAGAGTCCCAGGGCTTAAGTAAAGAAGGGACTTGAATGTTAAACAGAAGCGAAGGAAAGCTTCCTTCACTCTTCTGTGGGTTACAATCCACCTCGGGCTGAGGGACCTACGGACAGGCAAGGTTACCAGCTGCTCCCACCCCAGGGTGGTGGTGGCTCGGTTAGTGCCATCACTTGTGTGACCTCAGAAGCGGGGCAGGGTTGGAAGCTTCAGGCTGAGGGTTCTACTCAAGGCCCAGGAATGGCGGAGAAAGCTTCTGTCCAGTGCTCCTTCACTTGACACGCACCCAACATGCTTCTCAAACCAGTCTTGTCTCTGCAAATTCCTGCTGTTCAGAAGAAATGATGTGACGTCGGATGTTTTTACAGTGTTGCGTTTTCCTCTTGTATGTTCTTGCTGCTTTGGCATTTGCCGCTGCTCATCAGGATCAGGATCTGGGGCCTTCCCTGGTGGTCCGCTGGTTAAGAATCCGCCTTCCAGTTCAAGGGTTGCGGGTTTAATCCCTGTGGGGGGAACTAAGATTCCACATACCAAGGGGCTAACTAAGCCCACACGCCACAGCTCCTGAGCCCATATGCCACAACTAGAGAGTCAAAAATAAATAAATTTTTTTTTTAAAGAACCATAATCTAACATCTGGCCCCAGAGAGCCACTGTAGTTATTTGAGGGCAAACAGGTTATTGTGTCTTTGTGTCTACACAAGCAAGTTCCTGAGTTCCAGGTGCTTTACCTCCTGAGAACCCCTCCTCCAACGGTGGGATTTCTTGCTTGCTTTATTTATTTCCTTGTTGCAGTTCCAGGAAGGAAGCCTGGAATGTTTCAGTCGGTGTTTCCATTTGTTTCTGCCCCATCCTTTGGGGACACAACATCTCATAGGTGATATCTCATGAGACGTCGTCACTGGGGCAACATACGTCGGTGGGACGTTGACCTGTGTGTATTTGTGACCTGTGTGTGTTTCCACCTGTATCACCCCCGCTGTGGGTGGAACTGCAGTGCTGACACACCCATGACTTACTCCCTGCAGAGACCCTCAGACACAGATGGTGCTTCCTGGTGGCCTGGGCTGCGTGCCCTGCTCTGCCCCTATTCTTTAAAGACTGCCCAGCACAGAGTAGGTACTCAGCCACCATTTTTTTTTTTTTTTTGCTTACTGAACACGATCTGACCCCCTCCCCCTACTCTGCCCAGTGCAGTAGCCACCAGCCCATGTGGTGCTGTATTTGAAAATGGTGGCTGGTCCAAATTGTGATGTGCTGTACATGTCACATAGACATGGGACTTTTGAGACAATATCTTTATACTGATTTCACATTGAAGAAATATTTTCGGTATATAAAGTTAAATAATATAGTTATTAAAATTAATTTACCTCTTTCTTTTTATTTTTTTTTTAAATGTGGTGAGTATAGAATTTTCATTCCCGTGTGTGGCTCGCGTTGTATTTCTTTTGGACAGTGCTGCTCTAGAAGTAGCACTGCCTGAAGTTAGAGCAGAGACATTGGACGCCAGAATGCCAGCTCCCTGAGTGACCTTGGCCTAGCCCCCTAACTTCCCAGAGCCTCAGTTCCCTCATCTGTTTAAAGGAGGTGGGTTTGGGGAGTGGCACCCAGCAGGTCCCGTGGTCAGAGCCAGCAGCGCCCCAAGCTCAAGGCCAACAGCCCCACCTGCTCTTTTCCTCGCTGTTCCTCCCGCCTGGGGCAGCCTGCTTCTTCCACAGCAACCTCCTCCCAGGAAGCCCTCCCAGAGTGCACACTCCCTCATTCTCCCTTAATCTACTCCCAGGGACCGAAGGGCTAGACATGGGAAGCCAGGCAGCTGGCTGAGCACCTGACCTTGAGCCCCAGAGCCTGCAGGCAAGTCCGAGAGTTAGGCACACTCAGACGTCCAGCTCCACAGACAGACACTCGTAGAGAGGTGAGGACAGGGCTGGTCCTCTGGGAGGCTGACTGGCCCTCAGGAACTACCCTGGGGCCCTCTGGGTCTCCCCGCCCCTGTGGGTACAGGCAGGCCCTAGGGTCCCCGCCCAGGTGGCCAGGTCACACTGCAGTTGGGGGAGGTGTGACTCAGAGGGAACAGATGGGCAGGGGTCCAGAAATGAGTGCCCGAATGGGAGCTGCTGCTTGTAGCCGATGGTGTGCAAAGTGGAGGGGACAGGGGAGAGGAGAGAGAGCAAGAGGAGGAGTGTACCCAGGGGCGGAGAGAGTCCCGAGGGGCTGCTGGCCAGTGTAATGTGGTCAGATAGGCTTGGCCCAGATCTCCATAGCAGAAGTGGATCGGATTCCAGTGGGTAGGCCCATGGCCCAGCTGGCGGCTGCAGCAGCGGCCCAAGCAGGAGACGACAGTGGCCCAGCGCTCCCTGTCCTGCTGTAGCTACAACTCTCTCTTAGTTGTCAGCGGCCTGTCCAGGGTTTTGCGCAGGGAGGGGAGGCCGGCAGGTACATCCTTCTGCACAGCTGTGTAAATAAATAAAAATAAATGGACTTCCTCCGTGGCTCAGAGGTAAAGAATCTGCCTGACGTGCAGGAGACACAAGAGACTCAGGCTCGATCTCTGGGTTGGAGAGATCCCCTGGAGGAGGAGATGGCAACCCACTCCGATATTCTTGCCTGGGAACACAACTGTTAGGCACCCAGCATTCAGCAGGGGGCCTGGCACACAGGTCCTCAGAGGAGCTGTGGACCGACGGCCTCGGCAGTGTGGGCATGGGGTGGGGTGGACGAGAAGGAGGCTGGTGAGGTCACCCACAAGCAGGTCCCGAAGGGGCCAGGCCACAGACTTCTCCCCACCGTCAAGGCTGGATTTCAGCAGGTTTTCTGGGGCTTCCGGAAGCTTCCTCCAGCAGCAGCCACGCGGCTCTGGCTCATGGGGGGCCCTCTCTGCCCACCCCAGGAGCCCCAAGGATGGCGCACCTGCTGGGCAGCCCGGCCTGCATGGACAGCCTACGCAAGGACCTCACCGACCTGCAGGGCGCCATCGTCGACGTGTTCTCTCGCGCCGGGCCCGTGCGCTTCCCCTCCTGGAAGTTCCCCGACCGTGTGGCCTGTGACCTGGACATGGTGGCCCTGCTGGAACACTACGACCACGTGCCAGGCGACCCCGAGTTCACGCAGCTGGCCCATGCTGTGCTGCTGGAGCTGGTCATCGACAGGTGAGGGCCTCACCCTAACCCGCTCACCGCAGGATGCCAGCCCCCGCCCCTCAAGCCCCAGCAGCAGCCACGTGATCCCCTCCAGCACCGGCAGTGGCAGCCATCACCTTTGAGTGCGTGCTGTCCAGGGCCAGGTCAGCTCCTCGTGTTGTGTTGTGCTGTGTCTTGCCGTCCATCTTCAGGGAGCTGCCGGCCACCCCGTCGGTCTGTGTGGCACGGAGGCTCTGACACCTGCTTCTCCAGCTGCCGCCAGCTGCCTCTTAGGGTTTCTGCATGTCGAGTACGCTTTGTCTGCTGCTCAGAGTCTCCATCACAGCTCTACCGTGTTCCTTGTCTGTGTCACGGGACCAGACACGGGGTGCGCTTGTCCACATCCTGGCCCTGCTGGGAAGAGGTCACTGGACTCCCCCCTGCAGCGCTATCACTTCTACAGCGTGATTCATGTTAGCAGGGTCATCACCCTCCACTCTCTGGGGACGGAAGCCCCAGGCTCCACATTCTCCAAACCTTGCATGCTAATGAGGTCACGGCTGACAGGCGGGGACCCCAGCAGCTTGGGGAAGACCTGCCTGGGGACAAAGAGGCCCGGGGTAACCACTCAGAGGGCTAGAGGAACTGTGGGTGTGAAGGCACTCCTCGGACCCTGGGAGGGGGCGTGAGCCCGGAACACACCCTCCTTCCTTCCTTGCTGCACCCTCTCCCAGGAAGGCCCCGCCCACTCCTTTCTGGGCCGGCCAAGCCTCACCTGCCCGGCACAGCCCAGTCTACCCATCGCCTTCTAGGAAGCTCGTGCTGAGATGTCTTCCCAGCCTTTGCCTGGCTGCTCTGTCCAGGCCACCCTCCTCCCACCACACCCCACCCCCAGGCTGTTCATTCATTGTCCCAGTTCACAGAGGAGGCACCTCTGCCAGAGAGGGGCAGGGCTGGGGAGGCACTCGGCACCCCCTCACGCAGGCCCTCTTGGCCCAAGGCCCCGGGGGTTTGGACAGCCCTCTTGTACCTGCAACAACTGAAAGTCACTTTTCTGCCTGGTCTGTCTTGTAAACACAGTTCCTCTTTTAAAACAGCCAGGTTCCCATGCAAATGCCTACGTCTCTCCCCAACACCCCTTTACCTTAAAATTAGCCCCTTGGTCAGGGTAGGAGAGGGACCGACCTCTCTCCCTCCAGTGTCTGCTGTCACAGAAGCAGCTCATCACACAGGAGAAGCCCCCCCCCGCCCCGCCAACACACACACACACAACTAGAACCAGGAGACGGCAGGGCACAGTGCCCTGCACCCTCACCCGGAGGCGTGTGTGGCCTCCCCCACCGTGGGAGCCTCAGCTGTGTCCTCTGTGAGGTAAAGGCCCTGAGCCCCGTGACGTAAGGCAGCCACTCAGCCAGCACCTCCAGCCTCCCAGTCTCCCCGTCCAGTGGGGAGCAGCCAAGCAGAAGTGCTGCCACCCAGGAGGCCCCGAAGAGGCCCCAAGCTTGGCCTTCAGGGAGGGCTTCCTGGAGGAAGTGGCTCTTGGGCTGGGCAGAGCATATTGTGAGATGCTCCGAGCCCCTGAGGCCCAGCCCAGTCTCCAGAGCCGGAGGCCACTGGTCGTGTGGTGCCAGGGGGCGTTGGCACCAGGCTCTGCCCCAGTCGACCCTACCGTCTCCGCCCGCAGGCTCCTGCTGCTGCTTCAGAGCTGCGCGAGCTACCTGGAGACCCTAACCTTGGAGCAGATAGTGCCCCCAGCCCGGGCTACAGGGCCCTGCATGTCCGTGGGGCTCACGGTACGACGCTTCTGGAACAGTCTGCTGAGGCTGGGCATGCTCAGCCAGCAGGCAGCCCTCCAGGTGGGTCCATCACTCTCCTTCCCCACCTGCGGTCACCCTCAGGCCAGCCCCTTCAGCCGCCTCGCCCACCACGCGAGCACCGTGCCTGTCGCTGGCTCCTACGCAGCCTGGAAGTTAGCGACGCAAGCCTTGAGCGTCACGTTTGGGCCACCTGGCTCTGTAATTTACACTGTGGGACTTTGGAAAACTCCTACCCACTCTGAACCTCAGTTTGTTCATCTGTGCAGTGGGGGTGACGACAGTTCTTCCCTCCGAGGGTGTGGTTGAGTAATGGGGATTATGAAAGTGTTAGTTGTTCAGTCGTGTCCGACTCTCTGCGACCCCATAGACTGTAGCCCGCCAGGCTCCTCTCTCCATGAGAATTCTCCAGGCAAGAATACTGGAGTGGGTAGCCATTCCCTTCTCCAGGGGAATCTTCCAGACCTAGGGATCGAACCCGGATCTCCCACATTGCAGGTGGATTCTTTACCATCCGAGCCCCCAGGGAAGCCCCGATGGGGTTTACATGAGTCCCATTTGTCCTGGGTCACCCCATAACCCTTACAAGCACCTGTGGGCAGGACCGCTGTCACCGTAATGGGAGGGAAACCAAAACCGAGAGTGGCTTCTGTGACAAGCGAGCAGGTGAATCCACCCAGCAAGGGCCCAGCGCCCGGCAGCTGTGTGTCACCATGTCACCCTCCCAGTGCCAGGCATGTACCCGCATTGACCTGGGCTTGGTAACGGAGGCCGCAGACAGGAGAAGGCACGCTCCCATTCACGCTGCTACCAGATACCATCTGAGCATTGGGCGAGGCTGCTGTCACAGAGATCCCCAGGGAGCCGGTCACCGCCCAGGCCTGTCTCCCTCACCTGCTTCCCCTTTCTTTCCCCGACCACAGAAAAGGGCAAACCAAGGAGAGACCCTCACCTCCGAGCCCACAGCCAAGGGCGAGCCAGCTGGGAGCCCGGAACTGGTAACCGCCCAGCTCATCAAGCCGCCCTCCCCAGTGCCAGGTCTGTCCCAGGCCTGCCCAGAGCGGGACGGCCTCGCCATCAGCGTCTCGCTGCAATGTCCAGGCAGGACGGCCGTGAACACGAGGAGCATCCACGCCCAGACTGTGGAGACGGCCCTGGTGCCCTGTGACGCGTGCACCAGTGTCCAGGGCAGCCTGCGGGAGGTGGGCAAGGTGCTCATCAACCTGTGTCAGAGCCAGAACCTGCCCTCGTCGCTGGGCCGCTTCCAGCAGCTGGTACGGGACAGCATGGGGCACAGGCCGCTGCCGGCCGCCACTGTGGGCCTCTGGGCGGCTGAGCAGAGCAAAGACCTGGCGCGCCTCGGCAAGCTTGTGGGGCCCCTGAGGGCCCAGCTGGAGGAGGCCGAGGGCCAGAAGGACGGGCTGAGGATGCAGGTGGGCGAGCTGGAGCAGGCCCTGCTGCAGGAGCAGGGGGCGCGGCAGCGGCAGGCCGAGGAGGCCGAGCAGCGCCGGGCCCAGTGGGATCGCGAGAGGCAGCAGCTGCTTGCAGGTCAGCCCCCCAGCGCTGGGCATGCCGCCGTCCGAGCACGGGCTCCCCTGGGAGCCGACCCTGCATCAAGGGTGTGGAAGAAACCTGGGCTGGGAGTGGGCAGGAGACGCAGGGGGCGGAAGGCAGCGAAAGGGGCACGCTTGCCAGGCCGGCCACCCTGCCGGCAGCCGAAGCCCCATCCTGCTGGGGAACGCAGGAGCCCGTGGAGAACAGGAGTTGTCCCACCAGAGGGGCAAGGGAGCCAGGGGATTCATACACTCACTCTTGTGGGTCACTGAAGGGAACTCCTGGGAGCTCATGCCACCCCGGTACCCCCAGCCGGCAGAGGCGCCCCTCTGGCCTCCTCAGAATCCGTCAGGCAGAGAGACACAGCCTTGGGCCTCGCAGCGGGCCAGCCCCCATGGAGGTCGTGAAGCCTGAGGGAGCTGGGGCAAGCTGCCGCCTTTTCTGAGCCTCCCTGTCGCCCGCCCCCCCCCCGCCCCCGCCCCGGGAGGACACGGAAGCCCAGAGAGGGGCAGACACGGGACAGCTGCCCAAGAGAAAGCTGGGTGGAGGGCCCAGGCCTGCCAGCACCTCCCCAGAGACCCTCCCAAGTGCCCCACCATGCTGCGGGCCACACTAGGCATGAAGTGCCCGCCAGGCCCGGGGAGCCTCTGAAGGGCCTGTCTCTCACGGCTGCCACAGAAACAAGTGACCTCAAGACGAAGGTCGCCAGCCTGGAGGGGGAGCTGAAGCAGCAGCGCGAGTCCACACAGGCCATGGGTGAGGAGTCCCGCTGCGGAGCCTGTCGCCGGGAGCCCTGCGCTTGGCGGCCGGACCACCAGCCCCCCGTCTCTGTCTCCCGGGCTTCGGGGGCAAAGCTAAGGGAACCACGGAGGAGGCTGGGACTGACCGGCCACACTACTGGGTGATGCCATCTCCCACCCAGAGATGGCCTTCTGTTTGCAGCACCCACCCTCGGGCGGGGCTCGGAGCCCCACTCTGTGGCTGAGGACAAATACTGAGGCCCAGAGACGTGCTGTGACAAGCCCTGCACCCCCCTTCCCAGGTCCCATCCTGGGTCGGAGGCCATGTGGGGAGTCCCCGGTGCTCCCAGGCCCTGCCCCTTCCCACACGCGCTCTGTCCTGCAGAGAGCAAGGCCCAGCAGCTGCAGGCGGAGGCTGAGCACCGGTTGGAGGCCGAGCGGCAGGTGCGGCAGCTGGAGCAGCAGGTGGAACTGCTGGCAGGGCGGTTGGATGGGGCCAGCCAGCAGATCCGCTGGGCCAGCACGGAGCTGGACAAGGAGAAGGCCCGTGTGGACAGCATGGTCCGCCACCAGGAGGTGAGGCTGGGGCCTCCTCAGCGGCTGGGCTCCCGTGACAAAGGCTGGCTGCGAGGAGACAGAACTCCACCAAGGGGGGACATGCTGGAGACCTCCGGAGAATTCCTGAGTGGAGACCGTGACCCAATAGAAGTGGGGGAGCCAGGCTGATTGAGCCAGGCTGATGGGAATCGGCCAACTGCTTTCCAGGGGGCGGGGTCTGCAAGCCTAGGGCCTTGGCCTTGCCCGGGTTTGGGGCCCCGGCTCCCTTCGCCCCTCCACGCCTACCCCTGCATGGAGGTGCACAGACGGGATGCAGCACAAGGGGGTGGGCTTGGGGACGGTGGCCTCCTGTGCCCCTCATGGCCTCCCGCCCACCCCCGGCTCAGTCCCTGCAGGCCAAACAGCGAGCCCTGCTGCAGCAGCTGGACAGCCTGGACCAGGAGCGTGAGGAGCTGCGGGGCAGCCTGGACGAGGCCGAGGCCCAGCGGGCCCACGTGGAGGAGCAGCTGCAGTGCGTGCAGGGCGAGAGGGAGCAGGGGCAGTGCCAGCTCCGGGCCCAGCAGGTGCGGGGCGGGCCGGGGGGCGGGGCCGGCTCCTCCCGGGGGCGGGGCTGCGGCAGGTCCGCAGCTCCGAGCCTGCCCCGCCCCCAGGAGCTGCTGCAGAGCCTGCAGCGGGAGAAGCGAGGCCTGGAGCAGGCGACCACGGACCTGCGGCTGACCATCTCGGAGCTGGAGCGGGAGCTCGCGGAGCTGAGGGAGCGGGAGAGGCTGCTGGTGGCCTTCCCGGACCTACACCGGCCCGCGGAGGCCCAGATCCAAAGTAGGGACCCGGGCTTGGTGCAGAGGATACGCCGGGGCCTGGGGTGGGCCGGCGGCTGCCGCTTGTCTGGGCTCAACACTGGGGCCTGCGGCGAGGGTGGTGGTGGGGGGTGCAGGAGTGTGGCCTCCAGAGCCCCCATGACACGCAGGTGCCTTGTGTTGTCCACTCCTGGTGTGGACAGGGACACGGAGGCCCAGGAGTGAGGTGACCACTCAGAGTCACGCAGCCAAGTCCAGACCCCAGTCTGGCTGCCTCTGTGGCCTGTGCCCTGTGCCATGCCATATGCCAGTCCTGGCTCAGCTTCTATGTCCCCCATCCCGGCATCTCCCCAAACCTCCAAGGGCATGGTGACCCCAACTGTCCAGTGTCTGGGACCCCATGGCATGGGAGTGCTAGGGACCCAGTGCAGTGGAAGACCGGCTGCCAGTCCACCTGAGTCCTCGTCCTGACCCCTCCAGTCCCTAGAGCTCTGGGTGAATCCGGTGCAGAGCTGGCAGGATGATCCAGTGCGATCTAGCTGGACACGTAGGTTGTCAATTCTGAGTGCTGGGCCTTGTGATGCCCTGTTGACTGCCCCAAAGGCAGGTGACGAACCAGGAAATGGATAACAAGCAGCAGCAGCTTGCCTGGTTCACAGAGTCGGGGTGGAAGGGGGAAGCACCCATCCCCTCAGGAGCGGGAAAGAATATCCTCACTGAATTCCTGGCACTCAAACCCAGGAGCTGGCCATGACTTTGGGCAAGTCACTGTCTCTCGGGCCCTCCAAAAACGGGTAGCCTCGGAAGAGCTTCACTTCCTTACCTATTTGCTAAATCTTCAGTGAGGTCCAGTTCCCGTCCCCCACCCCAACGCTCAAATTCTGCAAGGCTGCAGTCACCTCCCAGCAGGCAGGGGGGTACGGAGCGGGGTCAAGGTCTCAGGAGAAGGAAGGTGCGGGAGGCCCAGAGCACCGACCCCGCCCACCTCCCGTGCCCGTGGGGCCACCGGCCCAAGGCACGGCGCATCTGCCCCCCGGAAGTGCTGTCCCGTTGGGCGCAGGAGGCTGACCTGCTGGAGTGCGGTGCCAGGCATGCGTCCCCACAGGCTCTGGCGACGTCACGGACGACATGGAGAGACAGGTGCAGGCCAACGACATCCGCATCCGGGTCCTGCAGGAGGAGAACGGGCGGCTGCGGTCCATGCTGTCCAAGATCCGGGAGGTGGCCCAGCAGGGGGGCCTCAAGGTGGGCAGCATGGCTCCCCCGCCCGAGAGGGCCGGCCCCTGGGGACTCGGAAGAGGCCCCCCCCACCTCCAACCCAGCAGAGGTCTTGGGCTTCCCCGGGGAACCTGCCGCCAACCCTGCTCCCAGCACGTGGGGCCCTCCCGGCAGGTGGCTTTAGCTGTGCCTGCTGCAAAGCTTCCCACGATTCAGCAAGGCATGAGGGTGTTTACGTGTCGTCCCCCTCCAAGCCCCCCTCCAGCCCTTTGAACCTTTATTTCAAGTGCACCAGGAGCCTCGTCCAAAAGCAAACCTTCCCACACTTAACAGCTGGCAGGCCCCAGGAGGCTTCCCAAACTTGCCCCTCAGAGGAAGGCCTGGGCCACAGGTTCAAGCCCTCCCCGACCCCACCCTCTATGGCGCCCTCTCTGTTGGTGCAGAGGGGCCCTGGGCCTTGCTGAGTTCAGTTTTCTTCACAGCTGATCCCTGAGGACCAGCTCTGGGCCCCTCCCGGCAAGGGAATTCAGGGAGCGGATCCCCCAGCCCAGGCCCCAAGGACGTCCCCAGGGTGAGTGAGGCTTTGTCAGAGGTCGGGCACGTGGCTGGGGGCGGGGGGGAGCCCGCTCGCTCGCTCACTCACGGGAGATCTTGCCGTCTGGTCTTCACACAGAGCCCCGGGCAGGCGGCACCCACCAGGCAGCAGGACAGCCAGCGCAGGCAGGACCCTGCCAGGCCAGCCCTGGGCATCCCCGCCTCTGAGGCCCCACAGCCGGCCCGGCAAGTCCTCCCTGGAGGACGTGACCTACCCGACCAACTGTGCCCAGAACCCCATTCGGGCCTTGGCCAGGCTGAGGAGGAGGCTGTCACCAGGCAGGGGCCAGGCCAGCCCGGCGCACCAGCCCCAGGAGCGGCCCACGTAACCTGCAGGTTGGGGGGCGGGCCACAGGGCAGGCAGCTGGCAGCCCACCAGGTGTAATAAAGCCCAGGCCATCTTGGCAACCTTGGCCTTACTGCCCTGGCTCCGCGGGGAAGAGTCCTTCCTCCCCGGTCCTGAGAGCCACTGGCTGGCAGAGGCCTGGCACACCGCATGCCCTCAGTGGACGGGAACCTCCCGCCTCCCTCCTGTCGGGCAGCAGGGGACGAGGACGTGCTGAGGGCAGAAGGAAGCTTCTAGCACCTGGGCCACCTGAAAGGCAGTCGACCCCCCCGCCCAGAGCAAAGGCTAAAGGATAATGCAGACGCACTGACCCCCGCCAACAAAGAGCAGGGGCAGAGTCAGGGGTGTGCAGGCGAAGGGGGATGGTCCGGTGGGGGCCCGGAGGCAAGGAAGGGGTCAGAGGCAGGCAGGGGCCAGCCAGCTGCGCACCCGGGCATGGGGACACTAAGGACCCAAGAGTCAGCCTTCCTGTGACTGAGGAATGCCTCACTGTCAGGAAACACGAGCGACAAAGGCTTTCTCCAAATCCAGGAGGTTGGATCCCCACAAGGCCACTGGAGGCAGGGCAAGGCTTTACCTAGCCAGAGCGGGGACACCCCGCCAGCCTGGCTGTCCCAGGCCTATCCCGGGGCCCCGGCACCGAAGCCTCCAGCCTCGCCAGCCCCCCGTAGTCTGGCTTTCCTCACGAAGCGTCCGGCCTGCCCTGAGCCCCCTTACCTGTGAAGGCAGGCGTTCAGAACGCACTGAGGACTTCTGGGGGTGGGGGGTGCTCTTGGCTTTCTGGACAGTTTTCCCTGGTCAGGAGGCCAACAAATAGAGCACCTCAGTTTACAGAGAAAGGTCAAGGGGGGGGCATGTGTGGTCAGGGTGTGGCTGGGGGGAGCCCAAGTCCTGCTTCTGTGGAGCCCGGGGGGCTCCCTGATCTAGGCCCTTCACAGGGCGGCTCCCTGAGCCAGGGGCCCGAGAGCCAGTGGCGAACCCATCAGCCCGGCTCTGCTCTGTGTCCATTCAGCAGTTCACAGGGCCGCAGGTCAGACGTCTGGGCCCCGTGTGGCTGGGTTCTCTGCTCAGGGCCTGGGAACCAGGCCGAAATGAAAGCATCTGCCAGGCTGCATTCCTTGTGCAAGGGACTGGGGCAGGTTCCAGGCTCCTTCTGACTGCTGGCCGCGTTCCAGCTCCTGCAGCTGCAGAACGGAGGTCCATTTCCTCGCTGGCTGCCATCAGGGCCACTCTTGGCTCTGAGAGGCTGTCCGACTTCTCACCACGTGGCTTCTCCATCTTCGAGTCAGCAACAGAGGATATCTCAGGGCTCCGATCCCCTCTACGCTTCAAATTCCTGGCTTCCTCTTCCTCTACCAGCTGGAGGAAACGCTCTGCTTTTAATGGGCTCACCTGGTCAGGTCAGGCCTCCCTGGACACCTTCCCACACATTAAGGTCAACCGTGCCACACAACACAACCTAATCACAGGAGCAGACTCCATTGATGTCTCAGTTCCAGGATCACACAAGGTGTGTTCACGGGGGCCGGGGGCATCCCAGGGGCTGTTTTAACTTTTGGCTGCACTGGGTCTTCCTTGCTGCGTGTGGGCTTTCTATAGTTGTGGCGAGTAAGGGCTACTCTCCAGTTGCAATGCAAGGGCTTCTCACTGTGGGGGCTTCTCTTGTTGCAGAGCCTGGGCTCTAGGGCACACCACCTGGGTCGCCCCGAGGCATGTGGAATCTCCCCGGACCAGGGATTGAACCTGTGCCCCTGTACTAGCAGGCGGTTCTTAACCCCTGGGCCACCAGGAAAGTCCCCTTAGGAGGCATTTTAGAGCCCACCTCCCACAGGCAGTACACCCCCAAGGTGACTTGTTTATCTTAAAACATCCACAAATCTTACATCTTATATTAAAATATATCCATGTTTATTTTAACACTAAACCTCCTCAAACCCCAATTTTTTTTTCAATAAAAATGGATGACCCTGGAAAATGTACCACATCTACCCTGTGGCTTCAAGTATCCTGGTCAGCAACCTGTAGCCCCACGGAGAAGCACAGGGCTAGATGGTTTCTAAGGCCTCTGGTCCCAGCCAGGCCTCAGATGGGAGCCCAGCTGGACAGGCCACGGGACCCATGGCCCCCAGTGCCCAAAGGCCCAATGCCAGCAGGCAGTGGGGGCCTCTAGGTTCCACATCATAGCTTTGACCACGGTGTGTCCACAAGATGGTCAGTCTAGGGTGCCTCCAAGACCAGATGGTGCCTCCCCTGCCCCACCCCCCAATAAATACGCACAGAACCAGGCCACTGCAGCCGCAGCCCTCAGGGATGCCCTGCCAGCCAGGTCAGGGAGCTCCCAGAGCTCTGGGAATAGTGGCGCTGCCCACACCCTCTTCCCCAGATGCCTGCCCGGGGTCCTGGGTGCTGCCTGTGAGGAGGCAGACGGAGACACCCCAGGATGGCAGACAAGGACCCCAAAGCCGCCTGTCTTCCTGCCAGGTCTGGGCAGTGCATCCTCAGGCTGGGGACGGTGGTCCCTCGCTCCTGGTGTGGATGTGTGTGGGGGGGCGCCTTGCCCCTGAGCAGGGGAGGCCCCATCCCTCCTCCCATCACAGGGCTTTCTGTCCTGCCCCCCGCTGCTGTCCTGTTCTGGGCGCCCACGGCGCAGGCAGGCAGGGTCCCTTGCCTGCATGCAGAGACCCCGCCGGGGCAGCTAATCATCAGAGTAGCGGTTCCCTGCAGGAGAGGAGGAGAAACAGCAGGGAGGGAGGCGTCAGGTGGGAACCAGGTGGAGCCGGCCAAGAGCCCCTCCCCTCGTTGCTCACCCAGGACATTGAATTTGCACAGCGGGCAGGTCTGCTGGAGCATGAGCCAGGGGTCCACGCAGTCTCGATGGAACTCATGCTTACAGGGCAGCACCCGGAGCCACTGCAGGGGTGGGGGGCGTGGGCTCAGGCCACAGGGAAGGCCTCTGGTGCTGGGGGCCAGGCCCCGTGCCCTCACCTGAGCTGGGAACTGGAACCCCTGTGGCCCGCCACGCCCCCCTCCACCCAACCCGTTCTGCTTCCCAGAGCTCTGGTGGGGCAGGAAGCAAACCGGTGGGGGCGCTTCCCAGGTGTGTCGGGAGCAGGGCAGGCATCATAGCCCCGGCTGACCTCTGCCAGGGACACTAACCTGCTTGTTGCAGAAATAGTCCAGACACACAGCGCAGGTCTCAGCACCAGGCTCCAGGGGGCTCTGCGCTGCCGGGCCCAGCCGGCACCTCCGGGTCTTGAGGGATGCCAGCCTCTGCACCACCCGGCGCTTGAGCAGCTCCACCTTGGGGGGGGGGGGAGGCAGGAGAAGGGCAGCACAGTTCCTAGCGCAGGGGACACGGGCCCCCCTCCCACAGGCCCCCCCAAGGGCTGGCTCCCACCTGGCCTCCAGGCTCCCGCTGGCTCTGCCGGGATGCCTGCCGCTGAGCCTGCACCACGAGGCCTGTGCACAGGAGCATGGCCACCAGCAGGATGGCGTTCCACAGCTGCTGCAGCGGCTTCTGGGGAGGGGAGCCGGGCGTCAACCCCACCCCACTTCATCCCCCAGTTAGTCCACCCTAAGGACCAGGCAGGTGAGGTCCATGGGAATCATGACCCCAGAGGCGCCTGGCTTCCTCTTCTGAAGCCTCTGTCCTTCCTGGCTTTCACAGGAGAAACATGAAACCCAGGTAAGGAGTCTGAAGGGGAGTCAAGGCTTCCAAGAGGCAAATGGACGTGAAACAGCAGCAGCTAACTCTGACTGTGCGTGACCCCGGGTCAGGCACCCACACAGAGCACCCACCCAGTCCTGAACCCTCAGAGCAGCCCTGGGAGGTGCAAGAGGTGGTCTCCCTACCCGGGCAGAAGGAGGCCACAGGACTTGAGACAAGGCATGTGTGTACCCAGCCCCCCAAGCACCCACCTGCTCCTGGGCCCGACTGCCTCCCAGGCACACCAAGTCCTGCCATCCTCCGTAGCCATCCTTAGAGAGGCCACAGGTGGTCCACAGGGTCAGCTTCCACTCGATGTTGGCCGACAGGGACTCCCCGCTGCTGATCTCAGCCGTGGCTTGGGTCCTCCTGGGAGGGGAAGCCAGAGGCGCCAGACGGAAGCGCTCTTGGGAGGAGAGGCTCAGACCCACCAGCCCCAGCCTTCTGGGAAGCGGATCCCCTGAGTATCACCCCATGCTGCTTTGGCCCCCAGCCTTTCCCAGCCACTAGTTTATCCATATCTCGTAACAGCCGGACAAGGAGGCCCACAAGCACAGGGAAGAGCCCATCAGGAGCCGGCTTCCTCCGTGTGGAGGCCAATCCTCTCCACCCAGAAAGCAGCCTCCTCGTTCCACGCCCTGGCACCTCCCTCCAGTCTCATCACCCATTTCTAAGGCCAAGAGACTACGGGCTCAGATGAAATGAAAGGGCCTGGTCCCAAGACCCCTGAGCTCACGGCAAAGCCAGGGACCCTAGTGCCCAAGCCCCGTCCTTTGGACCCCATGCCCCAACTTACTGCAGCAGCGCCTCCAACAGCTTGGTGACGTTGGAGGAATAATGCAGGACGATCACTGGCCTGAGCAGAAGCTGGGAAATGTCCAGCTGGAGGGGGACAGGGAGGTCAGGCAGCCCGGGTCACTGTCCCCCCCAGGCCCACCCCACCCCCAGCCTGACTCGGTTTACCTCTCGGACCACGTTGTGGTTCAGGACCAGGAGCAGCAGGGCTGAGGCTCCCAGGAAGAGTGCCCTCCGCATCTGCAGGGCAGAGCCAGAGATCAGCACACAGCCTGCCCACATGCCCGCCCCACCACCTGTGGCCACAGCTGTTCTCGGCTCCTGGTGAGCACTTCCCTTGGACAGACTAGCTGTAAGCAACTTGAGGTCAAGGACAGAAACCCTTATTCCTCCCACTCCCACCTCCAGATGCCCTGTGGGACCCAAACAGCACTGTGCCTTCCCTGGTCCAAGTGGAGCAAGCCTGCCCACCGGCCCCCCTCAAGAACTCCCCATCGGATACTCTCAGAGCCTGGTCAAGCTTCCGGACACTCTCTGGTCTCCTGCCACGTCCCTGCTGCCAAACACTCTGATCTGAGTCTACACCTGAGGGTCCCTTGCCCCACCCAGGACCAGGGCTTCTCCGGAAGGTCCTTAGGGGGCCATCGGGTAGTCCAGTCCTAGCAACTGCCTTGAAAACCCTTCCTCCAGCTCCTCTTCCACATACCACCACCCCGGCCACCACCCCGCAACCCCGCACCTGCTGAACCAGAGCCTTGGGATAGGCCTGTGGGCCGCCTCCCTGACTCTCCTGGTGAATCTGGGCCTCCTGCTCTTTGCCCACGTATGCCACCGCAATCCAGCCTTCTACGGGTGCGTCCTGCTCAGCATCCACGATGTCCATCTGTGGGGCGAGGAGCCGTGGGTAGACGGAGGGCGGGGAGGAAGGGGATCGGACGCACAGCGGATGCAAGGCCAAGGTTCGGGAACGAGTATGCAGGAGAAGGCACCCGATCTCAGGTTCTGGAAGCCAGAGGGCTGGGAGCCTGGGCAGCCTGGGGAAAGGGGGGCGCTGGGCTGCCAGGGCTTGGTCCAGGATGAAGACCGGATGTGGGTGCAGGGTCTACGGCGGCTCAGCGGCGCTCACCAGCAGCAAGCGGCCGCCCAGCGGGGGCGCCGGGTCGGCCTCGGGGCCGATCCTCACCCCCTGCAGCACCAGCGCGTCCTGCCGCGGCAGCCTCACGTCCACCCGCACGGCGCGGGCCCCGCCCCGCCCCGCCCCGGCCGCCGCCTCGCCGCCGTCCGCCGCGGCCCCCGGCCCCGCCAGGCCCAACCAGAGCGGCAGTAGGGGCAGCAGCAGCAGCAGTGGCGACGGGGGCGGCGGCGGCGGAGGAGGAGGCGGCGGCGACCTCAGCGCAGGGCGAGCGGCGGGGCCCATGGCAGGACCCGGCGAACAGACGACGCAGGGGCGCCGGAGAGGGGGTCCCGGGCGCGGGGGGGCGAGGGGGAGCGGCGGGAGTGAGGGAGCAGCCGGACGGGGCGGGGCGCTGAGGGGCGGGGGGCGGGGGCTGCAGCCGGACGGGGCGGGGCGCCGAGGGGCGGGGCGGGGCTGCAGCCGGACGGGGCGGGTTCGCTGAGGGGCGGGGCGCCGGGAGGCGGGGCGGGGCGCCGGGAGGCGGGGCGGGCCCTCGGCACCGCCAGCACCCAGGCCGGGCCTCGCGCGCCCCCTGGTGGCCGCGGAGAACGCGGAGCGACTGCAGCCGAGCGGAGGTGGAAACTCAAGAGAGGCGGCGCTCGCAGTTTTCGGTTGTATGATGGCAGAGACCAGAGGAAAGGACACTGACAGAGATAGGTGAAAGATAGTTGGTGACTCGGGGAGGCCGAGGCACGCTGAGGGGCCCAGACGGGCAGCAGCAAGGAACTTCTGGGGGTCTAGACACTGATCCTTGCTCTTGAGCGGCCTGGCCTGACGGTCAAAAGGTCGGCCTGGTTCTCCACTTCTCTACCAGACTGAACTCCAGGAGACGAACCAGAGACTGATCTGGTAGGTGGGTGGGTGATGGGGAGGGGGGAGATTGAGACAAGAGTCCTAGAGGGGCAGAGAGAGATGCCAGGCGTTCCCGGCCCCAGGGGCCCGTGCCTCAGAGGGGTCCTGAGGCTGGCTCTTAAGGCTGGTCACTTTCCTGGGCTTTGAAACGGGCACGGTAGAAGACCTGCACCGTCACACCCCCGACAAGTCATCTCTTGGTGCCCTCTGCAATGTGAGAATTATGCGAACGGTCCCAAAACTCGTCCTTTACTCCCAGGGGTTGCTGCTGCTGGGAGCTGGCTCAGTCTGAAAACTGGGCCTTTTGAAAAACTGTATGGTATATAAGAACAAAGCCCTTAGGAGGCATGACATTTTTTTCCCCAGTATTTTATTATGAAAGATTTCAAGCATGCAGAAAAACGGAAAGAATATTGCAGGGGCCACCTGTGTAACCACCAACACTGAACCACCAAGATGCTCCCGAAGAATTAGTTGGAGAGAATAAAACATAGAACAAAGGTGCAGTAATCAAAAACAGCATGAGAAAGATAGATATATAGATATATGGAATAGAACTGGGAGTCCAGGAATAAACCCAGACATCCACAACCAATTGATTTTCAACAAGGGCACCAAGACCATTCAGTGAGGGCAAGACCATTGTCTTCAACAAATGGTGCTGGCTATCACATGCAAAAAAATGGGACTCGTACCTCATACCGCATACAAAAATTAACTCAAAATGGACTAACAGTGGAAATGCAAATGGTGTAGCTGCTGTGGAAATCAGGATGATGGTTCCTCAAAAACAAACAAACAGAATTACCCTCTGACCCACCTCTTGGTATATCCAAAAGAATTGAAAGCAAGAACTCGAACAGATGTTGGTACACCAGCATTCATAGCGGCATTATTCACAACAGCCAAAAGATGGAAACAGGTTTGTTTTGCTTGTTGCACAAGGCGAAACGCTGAGACACTGAGGTTTGCAGCAAAGAAAGTGTTTATTTGTAAGACCGCCAAGCGAGGAAATAGAACAAGTCTTGAGTCTGCCTCCCTGAAGAGTATTTATGGGGTGGAAAAAAAGCAGCAAAGGTGATTGGGGGAAAGTGTGGTATTCATTCTGCACAGGCGTAACTAAGCTACAAGCCTCTGCAGGTTCATCGCATAATCTGACGGAGGAATTTTTGGCTCTCTGAAATCAAAAGGTTTCGAAGCACAAACCCAGCATGTGCCCAAGTAGAGGGTCAGTGGTCCTGTCCAGCCTTAATTGGCTCAGCTCAAACTCAACACAGCTGACTCCATTTCTAGAAAACAACTCGGGTGAACATCTTATTGTTTACGCCACAGGCTGCTTAGAGGACATGCATCTTAAAATGACCTTGGTTAGTGAAGGCTGGTGAGATGGATTGGCTCATCACCCTCAGTTTCACAACTGGAATGTCCATCAGTGGATAAATGGGTAAACCTCAGATATGCAGATGACACCACCCTTATGGCAGAAAGCAAAGAGAAACTAAAGAGCCTCTTGAAAGGGAAAGAGGAGAGTGAAAAAGTTGGCTTAAAACTCAACATAGAGAAAACTAAGATCATGGCATCTGGTCCCATCAATTCATGGAAAATAGATGGGGAAACAGTGGAAACAGTGACAGACTTTATTTTTTTGCGCTCCAAAATCACTGCAGATGGTGACTGCTGCCATGAAATTAAAAGATGCTTGCTCCTTGGAAGAAAAGCTATGACCAACCTAGACAGCATATTAAAAAGCAGAGACATTACTATGCCAACAAAGGTCCATCTAGTCAAGGCTATGGTTTTTCCAGTGGTCATGTAAGGATGTGAGAGTTGGACTATAAAGAAAGCTGAACACCGAAGAATTGATGCTTTTGAACTGTGGTGTTGGAGAAGACTCTTGAGAGTCCCTTGGACAGCAAGGAGATCCAACCAATCAATCCTAAGGGAAATCAGTCCTGAATATTCATTGGAAAGTCTGATGCTGAAGCTGAAACTCCAATACTTTGGCCATTGATGCGAAGAAATGAGTCATTTGAAAAGACCCTGATGCTGGGAAAGATTGAGGGCAGGAGGAGAAGGGGATGACAGAGGATGAGATGGTTGGATAGCATCACTGACTCAACGGACATCAGTTTGAGTAAACTCCGAGACTTGGTGATGGACAGGGAAGCCTGGTGTGCTGCAGTCCCTGGGGTCACAAAGAGTCGGACATGACTGAGCAACTGAACTGAACTGACTTTTGATACATCCGTATCATGGAATATTATTTAGTCACAAATAGGAATGGGGCTTCCCAGATGGCACAGTGGTAAAGAATCCGCTTGCCAGTGCAGGAGACGCAAGAGGCTCGGGTTAAATCCCTGGGATGGGAAAATCCCCTGAAGTAGGAAATGACAACCCGCTCCAGTATTCTTGCTTGGAAAATCCCATGGACACAGGAGCCTGGTGGACTACAGTCCGTGGGGTCACAAAGAGGCGGATACAGCTGTCAGTCATGAGCTACTGAGCCCAGAACAAGCAGGAATGAGGTGCTGACGTCCGCGACAACATGAATGACCTGTGAAGACACTATGCTAAGTAAGAAGCCGGACACAAGAGGCCATGTATTAATATTATTGTATAACGTGTCCAGAATAGGTAAATCAGATGGGAATCAGTGGCCGCAGGGACAGGGAAATGACATGTGACTGCTTCATGGTTCAGGGCTTCCCTCTGGGGTGACAGAAAGGTTTTGAAACTGAATAGAGAAGCTGGTTGCCCACCATTATGAATATACTCAATACCACTGAATTTTTTACTTTTTTTGAATTTTTTTAAAGATTTCAGTTGGGACTCCCTTGGTGGCCTAGTGGCTAAGACACCACACTCCCGATGCGGGGGACCTCGGTTCAACCCCTGGTTGGGGAACTAGATCCCACATGCTACAACTAAGACCCAGCACAGCCAAATAAATCAATAAAATTAAATATTAAAAACATGTTTAAAGATTTGTTATTTTGCCAGTTATCTTTTTTTCAATATTATTTATTTACTTACTTATTTTAATTTTTGGCCTCACCGTGGGGCATGCAGGATCTTACTTCCCTGACCAGGGATCAAACCCAGGCCCCTGGCATTGGGAATGCAAAGTCTGAGCCACTGGATCACCAGAAAAATCCCTGAATTTTTTTTCACTTCCAAGTGGTTAATTTTAGGTTGTGTGAATTTCACTTCAATGAAAAAAACAATGCAGGCCTGGCTGTACAGTAGCAAAACTCTAATCAAGCGAATGAGAAACACGAAGTTCAGATCACCAGTGTGGAGTTTTATTGTGAAGGGGCACCCTGGGGCTCCCCGCAGTCTCAGTATTCTGCTTTTTAAGTCACTTGATTGTTCGTTATATCATCCTTCTTCGCATAGGTTACTAACCTTTTGTAAGGAATCGTTCTTCCTAAGTCACGCAATGCACTGTGGAGGCCCTGTGGGGTCCATGGAAAGTCTTGCTTCTCCAATTCTGTGAACGTCGCAGCCTGTCTGTCAGCCCCAGTGACAAGGATGCAAGGGCAGAGCCTGTAATCAGCCAGGCTGTCTCCGTTGCCTCCGTGTCCCCGTTCCACCACCGACTCCCTATTCCCACACTGCTTCCCAAGGCAGGGGGTCCTCGTGGTCCCCGAACACACACACCTCCCAGATGCAGATCTTAGTTCACACCCGCCCCCCACCTGGAACACACCTCTGCTCCCCTACGAATGTCCACATCCTCGCCTTCCGTCTGTGGGAGCCTGAGGGCAATGTGCCGAAGCTGCCACCAGGTGGCAGGCTAGTCCCCAGGGAGTGCTCCGGGGGGTGGGGGTGGGGCACACTGGGCCGGGTGCTGGTCTCTGCTGTCTTTACAAAGGGGACCTTCAGGAGGGTAAAGAATTCACCTGTCAATGCAGAATCCACCTGTCAATGCGGGGTAAAGAATCCGCCTGTCAATTCAGGAGACGCAGGTTCGATCCCTGGGTCGGGAGGACCCCCTGGAGGAGGAAACGGCAACCCACTCCAGTGTTCTTGCCTGGGAAATCCTGTGGACAAGGGAGTCTGGCCGTCTACAGTCTGCTGCTGCTGCTGCTGCTAAGTCACTTCAGTCGTGTCCGACTCTGTGTGACCCCACAGACGGCAGCCCACCAGGCTCCCCCGTCCCTGGGATTCTCCAGGCAAGAACACTGGAGCGGGTTGCCGTTTCCTTCTCCAGTGCATGAAAGTGAAAAGTGAAAGTGAAGTCGCTCAGTCGGGCTATAGATTAGGGGATGGCAAATGAGTTGGACATAACCTAGTGACTGAACCTTCCAGGAGGGCAGAGCCTTGCTCACAGGAACTCATCACCCATGGGATGGGGACACACAGGCTGCTGGCCCCACACAGCTGGGGGT